GTGGAGGAAGGCTGGTTTGCTGAGACACCCCCAAGTCGTCGCCCCCCGTGACACCAGAGATGACACCCGTGGTGGCTTTCCTGCTCCTGAGCCTTCTGAGGACGGCAGCACCCAAGGGAGTGCGGTGCCCAGCCTGCGGGTTGGCGGCCCTCACCCCCACCACGCAACGGGACGTCCTCATCGCGTTGGCCAAGCAGAGCATCCTCTCCAAGCTCCACTTGGAGGACAGGCCCAACATCACCAAGCCCACGTCCAGGGGGGCTCTGCTGACCGCTCTCCGCAGGATGCGTGCGCAGCGCACGGACACGGCCTTCTCCCCGGGGCTGCCCCGGGACGGTGGTGCCCCACACCCGCGGCCTGGGACGGCTGTGCAGGAATATGAGATCTTGAGCTTTGCTGAGCCAGGTCTGTACGGATCCCACAGCCCACGGGCACGGCGGGATGGGGCCTGAGGTGGGGGACACGGAGGGAAGGGGCCTGAGGTGGGGGGCACGGAGGGAAGGGGCCTGAGGTGGGGGGCACGGAGGGAAGAAAGGTCTTGGGTGATGGGTTTCCTCCTCTGCACAGGGGCATCACTCATGGGGAGTGAGTCTGAGGAGGCTGAGGGAGCTGGGGTGGATATTAGGAACCATTTCTTTACTGCAAGGGTTGTCAGGCATTGGAATGGACTGCCCAGGGAGGTGGTGGAGCCACCATCCCTGGAGTGATTTAAGAAACGTGTAGACATGGCTCTTCAGGGCATGCTCTGGTGCCCAAGATTATTGGTTTGTGGTGGGATGTTGTGTGGGTGGGTGATGGTTTTCGATGATCTCTGAGGTCCCTTCCAACCACTACGATTCTGTGATTCTGTGTTCAATCTGAAGAAGAGGAGGCTGAAGGGAGACCTTCTCGTGCTCCATAACTACCTGAAGGGGGGTGTAGAGAAGGGGGGTGTAGAGAAGGGGGGGTTGGTCTCGTCTCCCAAGTCCCAGGAGATAGGACAAGGGGAAACGGCCTCAAGTTGCACCAGGGGAGGTTTAGATTGGATATTGGGAAACATTTCTTCACGGAAAGGGTTCTCCAGCATTGGAATGGGCTGCCCAGGGAAGAGGTTGAGGCACCATCCCTGGAGGTGTTCAAAAGACGGGTTGACATGATCCTCAAGAATATGGTTTAGGGATTTTTTTATTGCTTATTTCTTATTTATTTTTTTTTGTCAGAGTCAGGTTGATGGTTGGACTAGATGATCTTTAAGGTCCCTTCCAACCCTATTCTATGATCACCTTCCTGCAAGCGATGCCAGGCCACGTGCCCGGCCGGTGGGCACTGCTGGAAGGGCTGGCAAGGAGAGGTTTCAAACCCAGAACATTTGCATCCCCATCCCGAGCAGAGCCCAACCAGCCCCCCCCTCGCCACACACAGGGGAAGGCTCTGGGGCCCCTCTCATTTACCTATGGGGCATGTTGGGGCGAGGGTGTGGGTGCAGGAGCACAGATGGGCTGCTCTATCACATGAAGATGTTGTCCGTTCCTGCTGAACCCTCCCCATTTGCAGTAGAGGTGGGGGGGGGGGGGGGTCAGATGGCCATGTTTTCCAAAATTTTAAGCCTAGATCCCCTGTCAGCTCGCAGCGGGTGGACTTAGGTCTCCAAAACCCCATCTTGCTCCCCACACGCAGCGGTGTCTCCCCTTCCTACCCAAAAGGGTGGGCTGCCACCTCTCACTCCAGAACCAGTTCCTGGGGGGAGAGAGCTCCTGAGAAATGTGCACCCACTGCACGTCCCCCGGCCCCATGGAGGAGGGGGGTTGTGTCCTCACGGGCAGAGCTGTGCCAAGGAACCCAGCTCTCGTGGTTCACTGAATTTCACTGAATTTTTAGAGTTGGAAGGGACCATAGAGACCATCTAGTCCAACTCCCCTGCTGAAGCAGGATTGCCCAGAGCTTGTCAGAGCACGTTACTCAGGAGCATCCAGGTGGGTCTTGAAGATCTCCAGAGAAGGGGACTCCACACCCTCCCTGGGCAGCCTCTTCCAGGGCTCTGCCACCCTCACCCCAAAGAAGTTTTTCCTCATATTCAAGTGGAACCTCTTCTGTTCCAACTTGTGCCCGTTGCCCCTCGTCCTCTCACTGGGAACCACTGGAAAGAGTCTGGCTCCCTCCTCCTTCAACCCTCCCTTGAGATACTTGTCAGCATTAATAAGGTCTCCCCTCAGCCTTCTCTTCTCCAGACTAAAGAGTCCCAGCTCTCTCAGCCTTTCTTCATAAGGGAGAAGTTTCCATCAGCCCTTCCTTCAGGAGAGGCAGAGGCAGCTCCGCAGCCTCAGCAGTAGAGAGGGGGGGATGTTCTGGAGCAATGTTGGGTGGTGGTTCCAGCCATGGAAACTAGAGGTGCAAATCAGTGTGACTGATTTGAATCCAGGGCTGGTTTACACAGCCAGATGACCTGCTCCAAAACCCTCCAGCAGCTTTGCTGACAGGGGGATTATCAGGCCAGAGGAGGTGGAATCAAGCCTGGTTGCTGCGTTTAGCACCAAGGCGCAGACGCAGTGTAAGGAGGAGGAGGAAGAGCAGCAGCGCAGGGAGGTTGGGGCTCCTCGATGTGCCCTCGCTCCCTGGTTCGTATGTACCTCCCCTTCGCTCCGACTCGGTGGCCCCCGACTGCAGGAGACCCCTGTTCCCCCCCCATATTTCACCTTCTGACTCTGCTCTCGGTTTGTGCCCAGGGTCCTCCACCTCCCGCAGCCTTCGCCTGCATTTCCATTTCACCCGGGAGCTGGCTGGGAGCACCGAGATCCTCCAAGCCACCCTCTACCTCTTCTGGACAGTCCCCGACCCCGGGAGGCACCTTGTCACCCTCAGGCTCTTGCAGCCAGACCCAAAGGGACTGAACGTGACCGTGGCCAGCGAGACACGGCTGGAGGTGCAGAGGGGTGGTTGGGCCACGCTGGACGTGGGCCAAGCTGTCCAGAACCTCTTCAGCCGAGGGAGCCAGAAGCTGATTGTGGAGCTGGAGGTGGCAGAGGACCGAGGTTCTCCTCTCCTTGCCGTCCGCAGTGATTCCCACTGGCCGTTTGTGGCAGCCCAAGCCCGGGCCAGGAGGCCCCACAGGGTCCAGCGTCGCGGCATCGATTGCAGCGGGGACTCTCGGATGTGCTGCCGCAAGGAATTCTTCGTGGACTTCAAGGAGATCGGCTGGGAAGACTGGATCATCCAGCCGGAGGGATATCACATGAACTACTGTACGGGGCTCTGCCCCCTGCACATGGCTGGCATCCCCGGACTTGCTGCCTCCTTCCACACGGCCGTCCTCAACCTCATCAAAGCCAACAACGCGGACGCAGCCGTGGACTCCTGTTGCGTCCCCACACACCGTCGTCCCCTCTCTCTGCTCTACTACGACCGGGACAAAAACATCGTCAAGACCGACATCCCCGACATGATTGTCGATGCCTGTGGTTGTACCTGACCGGGTGCCTGAGGAGCGGGGAGGGCAGGATGGGTGCTGGGCAGGGCTCTCCTCCTCCCAGCCCCTCTCTGCCAGCGTGAGACCTGGCGAACTGCTGAGAGATGGGAGCCCTCTCAAAGTGTTTTCTCCTCCTGAGGTTCAAGCATCGAGGGCGATGCTGGATCTGCAAGTCCTCTCCTCCCTCACCTCCCACGCGGCTCTGTTCCCCCTTCTCATCTGCCCATGGATTCCTCCCTGCCCACGAGCCACGGTCTCTAGGGCTGGCTCCTGGTGGACACCAGACCTTTCTCCCCGCAGGGCTCTCCCCGGGCAGCTCGGGGCAGCCCCAGCTCGTCCTGCTGCTGGTCCCAGGCCAAGGCCACGGCGCAGCCCTCGGTGCTGCAACACGAATACGTTGCTCTTCAGGTCACGGGTCCCAGCAGTGGCCACCTCAGGCTGCTGGAGAAGACAGAAGCTGAAAAGATGCTGGGGGATGGCTAGGCCAGAGGGGAGAGGGCCATCCGTGGGGCCCCACTCCTCAGCCAGACATGATGTTGAGGGGGGTGAGGAAGGGGAAATTGATCCCAGTAGGAGGAAAGTGTCTCCTTCTCCAAGCATCCCGGTGTTCAATAAAAGACTCCTAGCCGTAGTGTGTGCACATGTATGTGACACATATGTGTGTGCCCTGTCATTAGCCAGCACATCTTCTGCCTCCCCCTAGCAGAGACAGCCCCAAGATGGCCCAGAACTGACCCACTCCACCAGCTGCAGTTCTCTTCTAACCAACTTGGTTATAAACTCCAGGCAGGGGGGTTGAGAATCCGTCACCAGGACACACGGTGCCCAAAGACTGAGGTGCTGCTGGGCCCCCCCAGCCCCTTGGCTGCCTTTTCCAGGGGGGTGCAGAACCTCTGACTTGTCTCAACCAGCTCCTGGGCACGGTATGGGACCCCCTGGATACAGGGGGCTTGTGCTTCTCACCGGGGAAAGCACCATTCCTTGATTGAGCCAAATTTTCCGTTCCACCAAAATCATCTGTATTGGGCCATTCTTGTCCGAAGTCACCACAAAACTGAGCAACTCTTTTCCCTTTTGAAGTGGGCAGAGACTGCCACTTGGCCAAAGCCACGGTGCCCAGGACACCCCACCCTTGCCCACAACCCCATGGCATCTCCCTTACTGGGGCGCAGCAGCCTCTCGGCACGTCTCTGGCCCGCGTCCCAGAGCATCCCCCCCCCCCTTTCGCTGCCCCTCACCAGCCTGGCTGGTGACAAAGTGGGACATGTCAGTGCCGTGAGAGCTGGGGACAAAGGGCGGCTCTGACACATCAGCCCCATTAGGTAATCGGGTGTTTCTCCATCGCTTCCCCACGTGTCCTCCACGTGGGAGGGCTGAGAAAGCAGGGAGAGGGTGCTGGGGGTGGGAAAGCAGGGAGAGGGTGCTGGGGGTGGGAAAGCAAGGAGATTCTCAAAGGGAGCTCCTGGGGTGATCCTCTGAGGTGGATGCACCTGGCTGGGGTGGACCTGGGTGACCGCAGCCCCGTGGTCCACCTCTGATGACCCTACCCCAGAGGCTGAAGACAGAGCTGAAGCAGATGGGAAGAGGGTGAAGGATGGAGCAGGAGGGAGAAGGAGGATGAAGCAGAGGGAGGAGGATGGTGTCAGCCCCTCTCCCCATCCAGCTTGAAGGGTGGCTTTTCATCTCCTGTCCCACTCAAGGGTCTGGCTGGGGTGGTCGGAGCCACGAGCAGCTCTGACTGAACCGGGGGGTCGGGATGCTCATTGCCCCAGAGGACCCGTGACACCTTAAGCAGGGATGAAACAACCACCAACAGGGACAGTGTTTGTCCCCGTTGCATGCGTCCTGAGGTGGACACGACCACCAAGCCCTGCTGGAGCGAGGACCTGCATCTCCCCATCATCCCCACCGTGCTGACATCCAGGCTTCCAGGCTCTGGTGCCTCCAGGACTTGGACCTGAAGGGTTCCCGCTGACCCAGCTGCTGCACAGGCAGGATGGAAAACTCGGGGATCAATACTGTCTGGGACCCAAGGCCACTTGCGCAAACCCAAAGAGGGTTTGGTGTTTGTTTTTTTCTGTTTTTTTCCCTTCTGTTTCCAACGCCTCTTTTCACTGTCTGTATTTATTGAACAAACAGCTTTTTTGGGGGCCAGTGCTGGAGCTCTCTAGGCTGCACGGGCAGAGAGGCGCCGAGTGAGCGGCACAGGAGATGTTGGCTGGGCTCTGTGGCCCTACAGATGCCACAGCTGAGGGTGGCACAAGCCCAACACCTTGAGCTGAGGCATCTGTAGGTGCTGCAAACATACAGCGGGGTTTGAGCAGGGCCCCAATTCTCCTCCTTGGCCCTGCAGCCCTCCTTCCAGGCACTTAACCCACTGCCCAAGGGGCCCAGAGCAGGGCTGGTGCCCGCTGCTGATACACAGCCCCTGTGGGGCATGGGTGCCTTGACTGGAATGGCCCCCTCTCCTTACCTGCTCCCCACAGCCCAGCTCTGCCCTTTGCTGGGCTGCAGACACACTCTCTGGACACCACAGGACACACGGCAGGCTCTGCCCACCTGCCCTGTGGGGACTGTGGCAGTGGGCACTTGCAGCCCAGAAAGACAACCCCATCCTGGGCTGCATCAAAAGCTGCGTTGCCAGCAGGTCCAGAGAGGGGATTCTGCCACTTGACTCTGCTCTGGTGAGACCTCACCTGGAGTCTTGTGTGCAGGGCTGGAGCCCTCAATAGAAGAAGGACATGGACCTGATGGAGAGGGTCCAGAGGAGGGCCACGAGGATGAGGAGGGGGATGGAGCACCTCTGCTGCGAGGACAGGCTGAGGGAGCTGGGGTTGTTCAGCCTGGAGAAGAGGAGGCTCCGGGGAGACCTTAGAGCAGCCTTCCAGGATCTGAAGGGGGCTACAAGAAGGTTGGGGAGAACCTGTTTCCAAAAGTCTGCAGTGACAGGACGAGGGGAAATGGCTTCAAGCTGGAGGGGAACAGCTTGAGACTGGAGATGAGGAGAGGGTTCTTCACTGGGAGGGTGGTGGAGCACTGGGACAGGTTGCCCAGGGAGGTGGTTGAGGCCCCTTCCCTGGAGATATTCAAGGGGAGGCTCGATGGGGCAACCTGGTCTAGTTGGGGGTGTCCCTGCTGACTGCGGGGGGGTGGGACGAGATGACCTTTGGAGGTCCTTTCCAGCCTGGACAACTCTATGACTCTAACTCTATGACCCTGTCCCTTGATGTCAGGCACAGGGGATGGGGGGCACCCCCCAGTCCAGACATCCCTGCACTCCTGAGTTGTCACCACGTTGCCTTTGGCCGCTCAGGCTGTGGTACAACCAGCCCAAGCCCCACAGGGTGGCTGCACCCCATGGGACACGAAGGACCTGCTGATTGGGGGTGCCTGGGTTACCAGCAGCCCCCCTCAAAGACAGGTCCCAGTCTCTGAGGCCCCTCCCTGTCCCTGGCAGTTCGAGATTAGGGCAGAACACGTTGTCCTGGGGGTTTTGCCAACCACCTGAAAACGTGCCTTTGGGTCAGAGGTCCAGGGTCCTGCAACACAGGACCTTCCTCTCCACGCGTGCGGCTTGTCCCCTTCCCGTGGCAAACGGGATGCCTGGGTGCAACCAGCAGCTGGGACAAGGGGGACCAAAGCTCTGGAAGCCCCACTCCCACCCGGGGAACACCACAGGGTGAGGAAGTCTATGGTCAAGGAAGGGTGATCCATTAGGATGGATCAGGCATGGTCCTCTCTGCTCACTGTGGGGCTGGCAGGGACCCCCAGAGCACACGAGGAGCTGCTCAGCCCCTACAGCTGGTGGCCCAGGCAGGACCTGTGTATTTATAGCCCTAACGAGCTGCACATGGAAAAGTGATGACCTGGGCTTTGCCACAGCCCGGCTTCTTTTGCAAGTCTGCTCCCTTGTCAGGGAAAGTAACCCTTACACCTTCGGTGTAAGCACGAAGGCTGAGGACCACCTCAGGCTCTTCAGGGAACAGAAGGAAAACCTGAGAGCAGCAGGGTGCGACCTCCAGAGGGGCATCCACCCCCCCTTGGCTGGTGGGAAAAGAGAGGGGAGGAGGACAGCGTCCACACGACTGCGTCCCCTCTCCCCCTGCCGTGACACCGTACTTCTGCTGGGGTCCTCTGTTCCCTCAGGTGGTGTGGCAGGAGGTGTCCCAGGCTGGCATGACCAACCACCCTAAGATACGGTCACTGAATTTCACTGAATTTTTAGGGTTGGAAGGGACCACAGAGATCATCTAGTCCAACTCCCCTGCTGAAGCAGGACCACCCAGAGCTTGTCAGAGCACATTCCTCAGGAGCATCCAGGCGGGTCTTGAAAATCTCCAGAGAAGGGGACTCCACACCCTCCCTGGGCAGCCTCCTCCAGGGCTCTGCCACCCTCACCGTGAAGAAGTTTTATCTCGTATTTGAGTGGAACCCTTTATGTTCCAACTCGTGCCCGTTGCCCCTCGTCCTCATGCACCGGTCCCGGTGGGGAGCCCACCCCCAGCCCCCCAGCCTGGCCCAGCGCAGGTGATGCCACGCAGACACCATGGACCCAGCCTTTGGCCTGTGCCAGACGTGACCCGGAATCACAGAATCTTCTAGGTTGGAAGGGACCTTCAAGATCATCTTGTCCAACTGTCAACCTAACTGACAAAAATAGTCACCCACACAACAAACAAGGAGCATCATCACTAAACCAGACCTCCCAGCACCACATCAACCCGGCTTTTGAACACCTCCAGGGATGGGGCCTCAACCCCCTCCCTGGGCAGCCCAGTCCAAGGGCTGAGAACCCTTTCAGGGAAAAAGAATTTCCTAATATCCAGCCTGAACCTCCCCTGGCGCAACTTGAGGCCATTTCCTCTCGTCCTGTCGCCTCTGACTTGAGAAAAGAGACCGACCCCCATCTCTCTACCACCTCCTTTGAGGGAGTTGGAGAGAGCAAGAAGGTCTCCTCTTCTCCAGGCTGAACCCCCCCAGCTCCCTCAGCCTCTCCTCATCAGACTTATTCTCCAGACCCCTCACCAGCTTTGTCGCCCTTCTCTGGACCCGCTCCAGCACCTCAAAGTCTTTTTTATGGTAGGGGGCCCAAAACTGGACACAGTACTCGAGGTGGGGCCTCACCAGTGCCGAGTACAGGGGGACAATCACCTCTTGGGCCTTACTCGAACGTGGGGCTCCACGGGGTGCCAGCCCCTCGCCCATCGCTTGGGAAAGGGACGGCAACCGCAGCGGCTGCCAGTGGCTCCTGGAAGGAGTTTTTTTGCCAGTATCAACAGATCCTGAATCAAAGGTCTGAGCGCCGTGTGCCAGGGTGTCCCTTGGCAGGGCCTGGCTCTCAGGGGAGGGGTGGGAATTCCTGAAAGCCCCCGCTGTTGCCTTGAAAAGCGTTAATTTTTAATTTGCAGTCTCCCAAGGCACTTTCCAGCCAGCGGCCCCCGCCAGTGCCTCGCACCAGCCCGGGCCCGAAAACTCGGGGGTTCCTCCGAGTCTTCGGGCCCGGGCTGGTGCGAGGCGCCGGTCCCGCATTACCGGCCCCACTCAGCGCCCGTGCGGGACCTGGGGAAGGGGGGGACGTGGGGGGGGAGCTGG